CTAATTTTCGGAAACTCCCATGTGGGCATTGACATCGTGCCCGCCGGACGCTCCGCGAGCGTCACCCCGTAGCTCGACACCGCCGGCGGCGCGGCCCTCCGACTGCTCCGATTGGTGCCTGCACTGGCTCCTGGGTTGGCTGCCATGCAGAGTGCTATTCAGCGCGCATGTACGTAGCAGCGCAGACAATGGAATCAACCATTGTGCCAAGTTACGAATCATTGTTCGAAGTGATGGAGGTGGTTGACTTGTCAAATACTGCTGCTGGCACAGCCGGCTTTTGTAAGACGCCGAATGGTTCGTTAAAGCTGAAGCACAGCACACCTCATCTGAGTAGGCCGTCTGTGAAAGATGTGTTTCAGGTTTAGGGCCGTTTAGGGTTTNNGTACGGGGTTTGCACAGAATTCAAAAAGAGGGTGTTTGGGCCGGAGATCCAAACTACAGTAGCTACAGCGTCTCTCGTCCCAGGTCTTGCTGTTTTACGTTTACAATCTCAAAAAAGCGCTAATAGAGAAGCCAATCATGACTAATATCATTCTTTAAGGCTCCTTACTATAATCATACCATCAAGGAGCCTAAAACCCGATTCTATTTCTTAAGGCCCCTACCTTAGACCCCTAAACCCTAAGCCCTAGGTACAGTATCTGGGTTAGAATGCAGGGGCCCCCAAAGCTGCTCGTGATAAGATCTATAGGCCAGCCACGAAGCTCGAGAATTCCAAAAGTGCCACCGAGCTAGGGTTTCGGGTGTGAGGTTTAGGGTTCAGGGTTTAGGGTTTAGGGTTTTAAGGTGTAGGGTTTAGGGTTCAGGTTCAGGGTTTAGAGTTTAGGATTTAAGGTGTAGGGTTTAGGGTTCAGGGTTCAGGGTTTAGGGTCTAGGGTTTAGGGTTCAGGTTCAGGGTTTAGGGTATAGGGTTTAAGGTGTAGGGTTTAGGTTCAGGGTTCAGAGTTTAGGGTGTAGGGTTTATCAGGGTTTAGGATTTGGGGTGTAGGGTTTAGGGTTTGGGGTTGCCCCGACAAACTCTCAACCCCCCAAATCACCGAAACATCCAAGCACAAAGCCCTAACACAAAACTCGTTGCACAATCCCATAGGACCCGCTTATGAACTATATAACCCTGAGGGTGCATGTACTCATACAGTTCATACATTGGCCTTCAAGTAGTCCCTACATAGGTACTTTGTGGCCAAAGTATCTGAATTTAAATATAAAGATACATGGACTCCCCCTAAGCCCTAAACCCTGTATTTGGACCCTTAGGGTACGGCTGAAGCCTTTAACTTTCAACTGCGGCCTCCCAAACCCGAAACGTCAATGCACCAACGTAGCCAGCTCATATAGGGTTTACGGTTTGGGGAACCGGTAAACCCTAAACTTTCAATTTAGAATATACGTTGCCACTACAGTAGTTAAATAAGGGCGATTGTTAGGCCGAAGTATATATTCACGAAGTATATATTCACGAAATGAGCACATGTACCTTGAAGGGAATAAGCAAGGGTCCGCAATAATTAGAACAGGGCTTCGGGGTAATTTACAATAAGGAACCCTGGAAGAAACAGTATTGCCAATAATCCAGCCTTCTAGATGAACACAACCCCTAAACCCTAAACCCTAGTTTCACTAAAAAAAAACCCTCCGAAGCCTCTCATGATCCGGTGTAGCGAAGTTGGTATTCGTTGGAAGGGAGCACGCCTCAGAAAACTGCCCTAAACCCTAAACCCTAGACCCGGCAGTTTAGGGTTTTTAGTTTTTAGGGTTTAGGGTTTACTAGACCCTAACCCCTTGAACCCGAAACCCTACCAGGACCCCCCAAGGGCGCTTTAATTCAGCCCCTATGGTCCGTAATAGTGGGTATTTAGGGTAGAATAAAGTGTAGTTGAGGGGGTCTAGGTAGACCCTAATCCCTTAAACCCAACCCTAGACCCTGATCCCTTAAACCCTAAACCCTAGACCCGAATCCCTGAAACCCTAAACCCTAGACCCTAATCCCTACACCCAGCTTCTGTGCTTGTGGGCTGTCGGCTCGGGGGCTCTGAGCCCAAACCCCAAGCCCTACGCCCCACACCCTGCGCCCTAAAGTTTAAAGCCCCGCACCCGAACAAGGCCTAAGCCCTAAACTCTAAACCTTTAGAGTTTCTAGGTTCACCATTTTCCCCTTAAAAACAAGGGTACTCTTTTTCGAACTATTTGGCTTTAATAAGGGAACCCACAAAGAAAAAGGGCAAAAGGGTACTACTTGGGAACTTGGGAACCTCAGATGACTGCATAGGGTTCAGGGTTTAGGCTTCAGGGTCTAGGGTTTTCTGGCTTTTAGTGTTTACTGTTTCAGGGTTTTGGGTTGTAGGGTTGAGGTTTTTAAGGCTTTTAGGGTTTAGGGGGTAAGCTGCAGGCTGGGGAATGGTTGAGGGCTTGGGGGCAACAGGGGTGGTAGGTTGAACCCTGTAAAACCCTGCAGTCCTCCAGCGAACACTACTCTCTTCTTCAGCAGCAACAGCCAGACCCAAAAAAGTTCAAACTTTTCAGGATTGGCTATCTGAGACTACATAACCCATGTAACTCTCAGAGAGAACTCCCCTTAGAACTCAATTTGAAGAGTTAGGCCCGCCGATGACAGCCTTGGCCACGAAGTCCCTAAACCCTAAACGGTAAACCCTAACCGTAAACCCTAAACTGTGAACCCTAAACCCTAAACTCTAAACCCGAAGCCCTAGACTCTAAATCCTGAACCAAAAGCCCGGTTCACCAACCCAAGACCCTTAAGCCCGAAAGGCCTAGAAATCCTTGATCCTAAAGTCTTAATGCCAAGCCCTCAGCCCATAACCCCAAAGCCTCAACCCTAAACCCACAAGCCACTGAAGGACATTGGTGATGTGGTCAACATGTACGAACCCACAACTATATTGACCTTCTGGGCTTGCAGTAGCTGCAGTAGGCCAGGTTCTTGGCTGTTTCTAGGGTTGAGCGAAGGGGACGATCTAGTAATATAACTATAACAGACCACTCTTTTCGATTCATAATGATGCTGTAAGTAGATCGGGTTCTCCAACCATAACGGTCCAATTAGTCCTGATTCACGGGTTCTGGGCTCCGAAAATGACCACGAAGTCCTAAAAAACCGGGGACCAAGCACTTAGCGAAAGCTTGTCCTCGCCATATGTGAGCTATCGGCGCGTTGGCATTCTCGCACGCCGCATTCTGCGAGGCACGTCCGGGAAGTGCCCCACTCCCTCGGCGAACTCTCGGTCCTTGTCTCTCCGAGGTGTTTCGTTTGCTTGCACGGGCTGGCGCCGCCGTGGCTTCCGCCCGGACTGGCACAGCTTCGGCCTGAGATTGGGGTTTAGAGATTAGGATTTAGGCGTTAGGGTTTAGGGTCTAGGGTGTAGGGATTGGGGTTTTGGGGTTTTGGATTAAACGGGTTTAGGGTTTGGGGATTTGCTTCTGGGTTCATTAAGACCTCGATCACCCGACCTCTTCGACTGAACCTAAGCAAATTTAATCGATCCTCCAACACCTTAAGGCGCTGGAGGCGCAAGCCACGAGAAAATCCGACATGCAAACATCCACTTGTGACGCTGCTCTGACGGATGCCCCCTCTCCTAAACCCTAAACCCTAAACCCTAAACCCAAAGCCGCCCTGAGCCTGCAACCGTCCTCCCACCCCGAAACCCTGAACTCCAAAACTCTTAAAAACCCGATACTCCTTATACAACTCTGAAAGAATCCTGGTAGACCTGACGGCCCTACGGATGTTGAAAAAAGCTTGTCTTCGTTAAAACGCCCCCCCCCCCCTAATACACCCTAATGCTTGGTCCAGAAGCCAGATCGCGAACAGCAGGTAGCCCACAGCGGCAATGTTACCTGCGGAAATCAATATATCATGTAGTTTGGTTCGGATCTTTTGGGGGGGGTCTGCAGCCAGGGTTTCGTGAATGAGGTTGCGATGTATCTGCGATTTTCGCAGGGATGTGATTCGATAGGGATCAGGCGTCAGGTGCTTCAGGGTGAAATGCTGAGGGCTGTTCGCGAAATCTGGTGAAAGCTGCAGACCCAACGTCAAAAACCTGCTAAAACCTTGAACGACCCCCAGAGCCAAATCACCTATGCAATGAATTACTGGGTCATCGATGTGGCTGAGATTAGAAGCCCGAAAACGTTTGGAATGTTAAGTCTAAAGGCGATTATATGCGTCCAACAAGTGTCCCGAAAACGTTTAACATTTTAAGTCTAGAGGCGATTATAGGCGTCCAATAAGTGTAAAGTGCACTCGTTCAGCTACTAGGCCTGAGGAAGAACCCACTATGTAGGCAACTGGGCTCTTAGGGCTAGGGCCCAGCACCTCAAGGAGGCACATGGGTAGTTCTCTAAGTTAGGGGTACCTTCTAGGGCTCCTTTAAGGGATCTTTCAGGGCTTCCATAGGGATTCTGCAAGGGTGCTATAGGGGTTCTAAATTAGGGCCCCTCTAAGGGTTCGATTTATAAGGCTGCCGTACTATAGTGGGACCTAAAACGTGATTTAGAGAAGTTCCCATGTGGCATGTAGCTAGATCATCTTAGACCCGAAACAACGCTCCTATGTGGTGACTGTTAAGCGTAAAGCCAAATAAGTTGCTGCATGGGCTTCGGCAAAGCAAAACGTACACCTATCATCCAAATACCCGAAGATGTCTGCAGCTTTATCAATTATTAGTAAGCGATTGCCGGACTTGCGTATCTTGTTCACGGCTTCGTTGGTTTTAGGGTTTAGGGTTTAGGCTTTAGGGTTTAGGGTTTAGGGTTTAGGATTTAGGGCACCCATCCACGCCCTGTGTTCCGAAACCTGCCACATTTTTTCTGGCCAAGGGACTTAGCAGAAAGATTTCCATGATGAGCTTCGGCTCTTTCACATAGTCCTGCACAAGAAAAATGTTGGGCTTGAGCGCAGCAGCAAGACCCAACCCTAAACGCTAAGCCCTAGAACTCCCCAAAATAGAAACCCCTGAACCCTAGACCCTAAAACCTAAACCCCTAAACCCCCTCGTCTTCAGGAGCTAGCTAACTACAACCAGGAAAAATCGTAGAAACATGACAGCAGCTCTCAAAGACGTAAACCCTAAACCCTAAACCCCCAAAGAGACACCAAACCCTAGATCCCTGAACCCTAAACCCCAAATATACACTAAACCCTAAACCCTAAACCCGAAACCCGAAACCCCCAAATATACACTAAACCCTAAATCCGAACCCTCTCAAAACAACAGTTGTGAGGCCGGGGCTCTTCGGAGGAAACTGGGGAGGGGAAGACTCATTTTCCCTGCAAAGCCGGGTCTAAACCCCGTAGCTTAGGGTTTAGGGAGTTTAGGGCTTAGGGTTCAGGGAGTTTAGGGTTTAGGGCTGAGGGTTTAGGGAGTTTAGGGTTTAGGGTTTTAGGGTGTAGGATTTTTAGGGTTTAGGGCTTTAGGGTTTTAGGGTTTAGGGGTTTAAGGGTTTAGGAGTTTAAGGTTGTCAGGGGCTTTAAGGTTTTAGGGCTTCGGGACTTTAAGGCTTTTGGCATAAACCTCATCAGCACTCACGCCCTTGGCGATGTTTCGCCTAGCCTCAGGCCCTGAAAGACCCGCCCGTCACATGAAGATCTGCATAAATAAAAATAAAAAATGATGGTAGTGCTAATAAATAGCCATAACAACACATAATAATGCGAAGAATTGTGATAATAAGCAACATCATAACCAAAACAATACTATACGTAATTAACACGTGATGCTTCTACTGAATGTCTATGCCAAAACCCTGGAATAGCCTGCAGCTTTCAGACATCTGCCTTTACACTAAACCTTGCACTATAAACCCTATCTATCTATGTATCTGTCCATCTATCTACCCACCTGTCTCTCTCTCTCTCTCTGTCTCTCTCTCGCTACTTCTTACATATATATATATATATATACCTATACCGATATCTCTGTCTCTCTCTCTCTCTATATATATGTATGGAAAGAGAGTGAGAGAGAGAGAGAGAGAGAGTGACCTGAACCCTTCAGCCCTTGAGGTTCAGGTTCCAAGTGCACTCACCGCAGCGTTTTGGGCACCCAAAAAACCAATGTAAGCTGATACCCAAAGGGTCCAAGTACGCCTTATGTTGTGGGACCCGCAACCCTACTAGTTGGTCATAACCCCCTTAACCCCAAACCCCCCTAAAGCCTAAACCCCGAGACCCAAACCCCCCCCCCTTCACGCCCGAAACCCTAAACCCTAAACCCTGAACCCCAAATATACACTACACCCTACACCCTAACCCCTAAACCCTAAACCGCAAACCCTAAACCCTAAACCCTGAATCGAACCCAAAACCCTCCTATCCGTTACGGGAGCGAGCTCTTCACAGTCCTCCTCCAACATCTTGAACTCGCCGTAGAAGCCTCGGCTTCGAAGTGGCCAGGGAGCGACAGGTATCTTTAGGGTTTATAGGGCCTTTAGGGTACCGTTTACGTTTGGGGTTTAGGGTTTAGGGTTTAGGGTTTAGAGTTTAGGGTTTAGACTTTAGGGTTTATAGGGCCTTTAGGGTACCGTTTATGTTTGGGGTTTAGGGTAGCTTGTATGTTGATGGTGTAAGGCACCTTTTTCTGGTTTAGGCGTCTAGGGGAACTTTGGTTTCAAGCTGCTTCCGTGAAGAAGTCGGTCTCTATAAAAAGCCATACCAGAACGCAGAACTTATGTTTAGGCTTTGTGGTAATCTTGATCTCAAAATGGTTCCTTTAAGGAGTCAGTGCCCATAAAGCCATACAGTATGGTCCTAAACCCTAAACCCTAGAAGCCCAAAGCCCTACACCCTATAAGCTCTACGCCCTATAAACCATAAGCCCTATAAACCGTTATATCCTATAAACCCTATACCCTATAAGCCCTAAACCCTATAAGCCCTAAGCCCTATAAACCCTAAAGCCTATAAACCTTAAACCCTAAGCCCTATAAACCCTATAAAACAAGAGCCTGATAAGCCCTCAACCCTAGAAGCCCTGTTTTACAAACCCTTAACCCTAAATCCCATAAGCCCTAAACCCTGTAAACCCTAAATGCCCTAAACCCTAAACCCTAATCCCTCAACCCTAAAGCCTAAAACCTAAACCCCCGAAGCCCTATAAGCCCTAAAAGCCCTATAAACCACCCTATAAACCTGAAACCCTCGACCCCATACGCCCTAAACCCAATGAGACCTATAAGCCCTAAACCTCAAACCCTAAACCCCTCCACCCTAAACTCTAAACCCCTAAACCCCTAAACCCTAAACCCATCAACCCTAAACCCATCAAACCTAAACCCTGAACCCTTTTTTGGTACTCCAGAACCCAGAAGCCGACGCAGAACTCCAGCAGGAGCGCTCCGATGAGGTGGTACATGTCCTCGGGTTGGCGGTTTAGCGTTTAGGGTTTAGGGTTCAGGGTTTAAGGTTCATTGTTTAGGGATTTAGGCTTAGGGTTCATGGTTCAGGATTCAGGGTTTAGGGTTCAGGGTTTAGGGTGCAGGGTTTAGGGTTCAGGGTGTAGGGTTTAGGGTTCAGGGTTTAGGGGTCGATATACAATTAGAGTAGGGTACTGGGTATACTAAATTAGATCAAGTAAGGAGCCCCAACAGTAAGTAATTTGGTAACTATATGTAGGCCTCTATGATACGGGCGCTTTAGGGCTTTGGGGAGTTGGGCTTGGGTCAGGCTTTAGGCTTTATGACTGAGGGTTTAGGGGTTTAGAGTTTTGGGTTTATAGGTTTAGGGTTTAGGGTTTAGGATTGAAGGTTTAGGGGTTTAGGGTTTATAGGTTTAGGGTTTAGGGTTCAGGACTGAAGGTTTACGGGTTTAGGGTTTAGGGTTTACAGGTTTAGGGTTTAAAGTTTGGGATTGAGGGTTTAGGTCAGGCAAGGCTAGGTGTAATAGCCTTTACAAAGGCCTTAAGATGATTCAACTGGGCTGTGCCACATGTGCCCAGGCATTCCGGAAGACTGTTTGGATCCGGGACAGCCAGGAGGCTGACAGGCGGAGGTGTGCTACCGCCATTTCCGGGGTGTCATCGTAGAGGGCTGAGGCAAGAAGGTGGGCTTCGGTTCTCGTGGCCTTGGCCGGCTTGGCTTCCATGATCTCCGATAACTTTTTGGAGCTGAGGCGAAACTTCCTGTGACTAGCAGTCCTATGCTTGGCGTCTTCGTCCAATAGTTCTTCTGGGTAAATGACTTTGAAGCACCAGACGCCTTCCCCCTCAACTCTGCGAGCTGCTCGCACAAATAATAAAAGTGCGGTCCTGGGGCTTTTGTTGAGGCTCCGGCTGCAGGTTGGGAATAGGTGTCAGGCTTTGGGTTTAGGGTTTAGGGTTTAGGGTTTAGGGTTTAGCGACCTTTTCCGATCCTGTACTGCCTCCGTGCTCAGTTTGGGTGCCTGAGGCAAGATGAACAGGGTCCTGCTGGTCCCAGTCGTCGTCGGCCAGTCCCTCTTCCTTAAGGAGTGCCTTCTCCACAAGCAACTCTTTGGAGTCAGGGGTTTAGGGTTTAGGGTTTTCAGGTTTAGGGTTTAGGGTTGAGGGTTTAGGGGTTTAGGGGTTTAGGGGTTTAGGGTTTAGGGTTTACAGGTTTAGGGTTTAGGATTAAGGGTTTGGGCTTTGAGGTTGTCTCTCGCTACAGCTTTAGCTCGGCCGAGCCCGAATATCAAAGCAAAACGCTTCAGGGTTCAGGTCTTAGGATGCCGCGGTATCGTCTGATGTAGGGGCCTTAATAGTTAGAATGGGGTTTCGGGGTTCCTTTAAAGGGTTTCCTTAAGGGCTGCTATAGGGGCTTGGGGTTTAAGTGATCTATCATAACTAGATGGGGGCTATAGAAATTTACCGTGACTTCTCTCGCAAACCCCTCTCTAGGAGCCTTGTGTCCGGGGTCACATTTTCTTAGAACCTTCGGACCTTCGACTCCCATCGGCTCTTGCACTCTTTAGACTTTAGCCCTAAACCCTAAACTCTAGACCCTAGACGTGCATCAGCTCTTGCACTCTTTAATTTACAGCCCCTTGCCTCTTCTCCAAGGGCCCTAAGGGTCCCAGTGCCCGATTATCATATACTCTCCAGAATACTAACCTAGACAACTACTATCCGTACCCAGAGTACCTTACCCAAAAGGTCCTATGTACTGTTATGGAGGAATTCTTCCCTACATCATGATAACAATTCCGTAGAGAATAAACCCTAAACCCTACGTTCTACTATATAGGTCCTTCGGACCCTAAACCCTAAACCCTAAAACCCTAAACCCTGAACCGTAAACCCTAAAGTCTAAACCCTAAGCCCAAAGCGCCTATACCCTAACCCTAAACCCTTTGGGGTACTCTTGGGTCCTTTGGACCCTTCAAAAAAATTACCGAAGTACGTCTTAACGACGAGCAAACGACCTGCTCAAATAAGACTTTGGGGGTTCCTAGTAAATAAGACTTGAGGACCTACATGACGCCCTTATCATTCTAGATCCCTTGAAGGAAGCGCACCCTAAACCAAACCCGAAATAAGCCCCCAAAACAACCCTTAGAGGAATCCAAACTAAACTGTAAAACGGAAGCTTAAGAGAGCTCGGACCAAACATCCTGAAGACTAAACCCTAAACCCTCGAAATGAACCCTAAGCCTTAAAACCCTTTAAATGAACCCTACACCCTAAACCTGAATCGAGACTGCAAACCGCGTCTGCAGATTAGCGGCCATCCGGTCAACCACTAACTCCATGAGGTTCGTGATGTCCTCACCTTTGTGGCTGGGTTTTAGGGTTTAGGGTCTAGGGAGCTGAATGAACAGAATGGCGTTCCTTTAATAAAGGGCTCTTGTGGACTTAGCACTTTAAACTTGGTTTCAGAGTTCCGGGGTTTAGAGTGGAGGTGTCTGGGTTTCGGGGCTTGGGGTTCGGGTCCTCTAGGGATCATTCAGGGTGTATGGCTTTCTGCTGCTTTGCATTGTCTATGGGGTTCCAGATTGGCTCAACCCTAAACCCTAAACGCTACACCTCAAACCCTGAACCCTAACCCCACACACCGTAACCCTTAACCCCCAAACTCGAATTTCACGGCAGCAGGCCATGGGATCAACACATCTACACCAACCTAGAAGTCCTTCACACAGTAATGTAGGGGCCTTAAATAATTAGAGAAGGGTTTTGGGGTATATAATACATTATAACTGATAATAATATAACAGTTATAGTAAGGAGACCGCAAAATAGTATAGGTACTTATGTTTAGGCCCCTATACTATCCTCATAAGCTGAGCTGGCGATTGGCGGGCTAAGGTACATCCCATATCCGCAGCCGAACTCTTTTTCTTCAGCCGTCATCCCGAACGTCTAGCACCCTAGACCTCTGAAAGCCTGCAAACGCGCTAACAGCAGACAAAAGCAGAGAGTTAGGACATCACACAAGCAAAAGGGGATTGAGGTTTCCCGTGTTGGGCTTAAGATCTGTTTAATAAAACAACCCTCCAAAAGCCCTAGGGAGCTCAAAGCTCCCCCGAATAGAGGAATGTACGCTGAATCACATTGAGGGGCCCTCTAAACCCTATGATCGTGCGCTATTTCGGATTGCTTGATTTTGGAGCCAAAGCAACCTTAATGAAGATCTTGTCATAAACTAATGTGCTGCTAAACCCTAAACCCTAAACAATAGGCTCCTTTCTGTTATTTGAGGGGGGCATTGGGTAATCTGCTGGAGTCGAGCCACGTTTGAGCTTCTGGGCCTCGATGGCAAACTCATAGCTCTTCATGAACCGGTCGAACTCCTGTGAGGGTTTATAGGATTTAGGAACTTGTTCACCGAACCTTTACACGGGGTTTAGGGTTTAAAGTTTAAGGTATTTCGACACTCCCATTTCCCAGTAACCCGCTGAAAACGGTAGCCCCAAAGCCAAATAAAAAAACAACTGATACTCCCGGGTAACTAGTTCATCAGGACATCTTGGGGCTCAGGAAGACTTTGGGATGTAGGACCCTAAACCCTAAACCCTAAACGAATTTCCGTGCAGTCTTTAGGGTTCTGGGCTTATGGGTTCAAGGTTTAGGATTTAGAGTTTAGGAGGTGCTCAAAGCAATAGAGGTTAAGTTCTACGCTGCTTGAACTTGAGCGTCGGGGTTATTGACTCCCAGGGTGTGTAGGATTTAGGATCGACGAGTTTAAAGATGCGGGCGGGTGGGAGCTTAAGAGCAATGGCCTAGGGCTCGTCAGGTTATATTTAACACCTTTAACTAATCCTAGTTCCTTACCCCAGCACAACATCAGGACTTCGTCAACTTTTGGATCTGCAGGTTCCAGCTCAACCCTTTACCTGACCCGTAGTTGGGGTTTAGGGGTTTAGGGCGTAGCGCTTAGAGGCTAAAAACCTACAGTTAGACTAGACCAGGACTTCGTCAACGGTTGGGATTATCAGCTCCCAGCCACCCTAAACCCTAAACCCTAAACCCTAAACCCTGGGATTATCAGCTCCCAAGCCATCCTTCTCTGCATTGATCACAGGAGCTTCACCGGCCAGGTGTGAAACCTGGCCGATATGGGAGTTTCCGAAAATTAGGGGTACCTTATTTTGGGGTCCTTATAATAAGGATCCGATTATTTGGGGTACTATCTTAGGGTCCCCTATTTTCGGAAACCCCCATATGGAGTCTCAGAGGCTCTCTACTTCAACAGCCAGACCCAAAAAAGTTCAAACTTTTTAGGATAGATCTAAGATATAAGACCAAAAAGCTTAAAGTTCTCCCATTGGCTATCTGAGGAGGAGCTGGTGATGAGGTTTGGCGCTTTCTGTTTGGGGTTTAGGGTGTAGTGGTAACAAATTCACCGATCTTATAAAGTTTAACTTGGATCACCCTCCCAATGCATATCTAAACTTGATATAGGGGGTCCTCCTTTCTTAACCGGGCACTACGATGCTAGTCAACAGTGCGCGCACGATCCCCTCCCCTCTTCCCAGCTTCACCGGGATCTACCCTAAACCCTAAACCCCAGCATTCTGAAACCCTAAACTTTCAACTGCGAGCCTGTAGCCCTAAGGCAGTTAAGAATAAACGTTGAAGTTGAACAGTGAGCCCGAAAAATGCAAACCCCAAGAGTCAGCCCAGCAGACCTCTTGAAGAACCCTTTTAGGGTAAAGCCGAACTTTGCATCCAACCCCCTCGCGATTGATCCGTGGCACAGTGTCCACGGCAAGGGCATGGACGGTGGCGAGCATGGTGATGGCCAATCTGCACGGACCCCAACCAAAAGCAATCCTAATCCCTAACCTTCCAACTCTAAACTCGGCATCCCAAATACAATACACAACTTACTAGATACTTGCACAGGACCCTTTGTGTTTTTTTGGGGCCCAAGGAGTACCACACAGTATCAAGATTAGCAGGACCTTCTTCACCACAACCATCATCATCAACAATCACAAGAGTGGTACACACAAGAAGCGAACAGACCAGAACCCTCGTAACAAGGTTAGTTATAGTTTGTCGAACGATCATACATACGAAAGGCACAGCTAGGCATTCCCATCCGGGCTTCAGGGGTGCCGCACTAATTGGGGACCTAGAAAGAGGCACCCTGCTTTGGAGAACTGCCCATATAGTTGATAGGCAGGTGGAAGAAACACGCAGGAGCCTGCAATCAACGGCTGAAAACCACAGGCGCAGATGAATACTACAGATTTCAACGGTCATGCTGATGGACAAGCAAAACTACAACAACCAGCGAGCGTCCGTTGCTTGTGGTGACAAGGGTTTCTTTCAAACCAACGAAAGTACCAGTTACAGTGTCAGTATCCATGGTCGTCGTCGTGTCGGTTCTTCTACAACGGTTACTATGAGGCCTCTACTATTCTTATGACTGTGTCTATTGCTTACATATCCTTGTTATCTTCATGTACCACTGCTGTTGTTTGTTGTTGCTGCTGCTGCTGCTGCTGCTGCTGCTGCTGCTGCTGCTGCTGCTGCTGCTGCGGCTGGTGTTGGTGTTGGTGCTGGTGTTGGTGTTGCTGTTGTTGTTGCTCTTGTTGTTGTTGCTGTTGTTGTTATTCTTCTTATTCTTGTTATTGTTATTGTTATTATTCTTGTTATTGTTGTTGCTCTTGTTCTTGTTGTTGTTGTTGGTGGTGGTGGTGGTGGCGGCGGTGGTGGTGGTGGTGGCGGCGGTGGTGGTGGTGGTGGCGGTGGTGATCGTGTTGCTGTTGTTGTTGTTGTTGTTGTTGCTGTTCGTCTTCTCATTCTTGTTACTATTATTTGTCCTCTTATTACTATTCTTATGGTTTTCTTCTTGAAATTATTATTGTTCTTGCTGTGGCTGTTCCTGTTGTTTGTGAACATCGCCATCGCCGTGGTCGTGTCCGTATTTCTTGTAGATGGCCCAGGAGGAACAGTCGAAAGAGTAGCAAAACAACACGCAAGCACTACTTGGAGGTTCATGGGTAGTTATAAGCGGGGTTATAAGTAGGGTCACTTTAATTATAACCAATGTTAGGGGACTTGTAACGATACTTATAACTACCCATGAACCTCCAAGTACTGGCAGCAAGTACCACGCAATAAACAGCGGCGCTCCGCACTCCGCGCCTGTAATGAGTGGCTCGGGCACAGCGTTTGCGGTCCCGTCGCACCGGCGGTATGTGAGTGGAAAAGGCAGAGTGGAAAGGCGATGTCTTAGGTCTTGCTGGAAAGTCTGGGGTGGCATCCTGAACTTTTTCTGACATTCATGTGGTTTGCAGAATGTGCAAAGAGGCTGAGAGGGGCACGTCCGAAGGTCGTGGCTGTGGGCATGAATAGTTGTAAGATATATATGTCGCATGTACTGTCGAGGCCCTACCAAGATTCATCCGTTTGAGCCACATCAACACCGAGTCATGGGCTGTAAAACCCAACATGGAGGTCTCACGAATCGGAATAGGGTTCGTTCAAGGGATCTTTGAAAGGGTCTAGCTTAATTAAGTTTCAGGGCCTCATTAAACTAACTATAATATGGGAAGATGGGTCAGGAACAATGATAGCAATTGTTTCGACCCCCATATTGAACCCCAAAACCTCGAATCGGCGGAAAGGTGGAAAGTCCAAAAGCACACCTGCAACCTGAAACGAAACAAATGCTCTACCGTGACTTAGGCAGGTTCGCAAATGCTTCTGAGAAACGCAAAGACCATCTTCACAAAACATGCCTAGTTGATAACTCTTGGACTTCAAGAAAGGAACCGACAGGTGCCTTGCTAGTTGCTTGGACCCAGGGCTTGAACAGGGACGACTGCTTAGGGTTTGAATTTGGGGTTCAGAATTTAGGCTTTAGGGCTATTGGGTTAGAGTTTAGGGTTCAGAGTTAGGGCTAAAGTTTCAGGGCCCTATGCAGAACCGTTGAAGACAAGTTGCCACTTTCTTTCTCTCGGCAAAGAGCTGTCTCGTTTGTTGTTCGCGGCACGCTGCTCAGGTGGCGCATGCTTCTGGAATGTACTTCAAGCTATCATAATCAGGACACCATCGTCCTACAGGACCCTCTTAAGGCAACTTATACACTTCTGCTCCTTATGCGAGGAACCCTAAACCCTAAACCTTAACCGAGCTCTCAGATTATCGCTCCTCTTTTCCGTGGACCGGTCCCGTCAGGAAGTAGGGGTAGCCTCGGACCATCAGTCGGTGGTTTAGGGTTTAGGGTTTA